CAGTCGTAAACCTTACCTTATTTTTGTCTTGATAGTCGAACAATTGAGTAAACTTCTGACAGCGAAAATAGCCTCAAACTGTCTTTTATTCGATTCAGTAAGGCTAGCTAAACAGGCCAACGGTAGTTTGCAGTAATTTTAGTTAACAGAGTTTAAAATCTAAATATCTGGGAAATTTACAATTATACTCATGGATAACTATATTTCACAACCATGAATGTTCTAACTATACTCAGCTGTTTTTAGTGTGAAGCGGGATTGTATAATATTTGGTAATAAACTGAGAGCAAAGTAAGGTTGAAAACCGTCGCGATTTTTTCTGTAGTTGCACTCCAATTTGTTCAAGAAATTCGAATCCTTTTTACTGTGATTGGGATCCAGCGCGCCGACATTAGCATAGGCCACCACGCCTTCAGCAGCTGTTTAACCGTACAACTTATTTTGTACCTTAACCTCTTGCCTTCTTCACTCTCCCCTGTAAAGCCATTCCATTTTGTAATAACAGTTTTACAAAAAAACAAAAGCAAAAGAATCGGAGAAAAATGTTTTCAGGCTTGACCGTATTGTATGATTTGCATTAACCCAAAAAGAAAGTATGGTATTACGGCTGTATGTCTTACACGAAATAATTTCTTTAAGTTTATTTTCTACGTCAGTCTGCTTGTGTGATTGACTTCGTTCCACCAGGGACTAAAGTACTCTAGCAAGATGTCCTCCGCGGGTTTGAAGACCAAGTCTTTGTAATGCACGCTATCGAACGGATCCACGCTATTATCAGTCCCGTTAGGGAAAGACGCGGTGAGTGGGTACACATCAAGTACTTCAATACCGGCTTTACACATGGCCCAGGTAGCATACGCATTGTAGAGTTGAACCCGCTGAAAAAAAAGGAAAAGATTTTTATAAACTAACCATTACAGTAAAGTAAATTCTGCATGCGAGCCACGTAGCCCATCAGGCCTGAACTTATCACCATTTCTATAGCATGAAGCAACTAGGAATATTTCTACTCCTCCCTGGATGGGATGCCAGTCCGTCGCAGGGTTACCCCCTGGCATTAATTTCGCCAGCACTCATTTATACACCTGGGTGGAGAGAGGCACTGTGAGAGTAAACTGTCTTGCCCAGGAACACAACACAATGTCCCCGATCGGGATTCCAACCCAGACCACTTGATCCGGAGACGAGCGAACTAACCACGAGGCCAACGCGCCGCCAAACAACAACAGCAGATACGCTTTAATTGGTCAAAATTTTGATTGGTCAAAATTTGGGAATTTTTACAACAGGGTATAGAAAGTATTTGTTTAGGACTGGTTTTGAACTTTCCAGTGAAAATTATCAGCCTTTAGTTATTTACTGTTAACATTACTCACCAGAATCCCATTATCTATTAGAGGTTTACATGATGAAATGACAACATAAAAACCAACATTACAGAGGCGGCTGCTACTACAGGCCTAGGTTTGTCTGTGATCCTTCTTTATCTTCTCTCAATAAATGTTATAATTTTTGCCGGGGGGGGAACGCCCTTATAAAAAGGACGGGGGTGCTCATCTTACGTTTTTAAGGTTAGAAAAGCGCTTTTGGTATCTCTTAGAATGTTCAGCCAGGAGATATTTGAAAATCAACAGACTTTTAATTTGTCTCAGAATTGGTACCTCTTAGGGGTGAAAAGTATTTCAAGCCACGCCCACAAAACAGGATCTTGGCACCTCTTAGGGGTTCTTTTCAAAATATCCGACCAGCAACCCCGTCCCTTTCATATGGGAGACCCCTTCGGGGAGTTTTTGTACCTGTCGAGTAAGAAATCGTCGCTTGTGGTTGTGTGGCGATCTTAGTCTTTCTCTGTGGATAGCAGCGTTTGTCTTCCAAATCATTTTCCCTTTGAACTTCAATTCAATTCCTCCTTTTTCGTTCACTTTTGTCGCTTTAAACAGATCCACAATACCATCGATAACTTGGCGGTATGTTGAAAAGTTTGTTGACGTAATAAAATGCAGTCCGTGGTTAAGAATAATGACGCTTTTCTCGTCATTCATCTAAAAACAAGGTCAACTCTAGCCTCGCTGCCATACAAAGGCCAGTTCACTGAGCAGACAACTGTAAAATGGTCTATTGGGGCAACTCTCCCTATGAAACACGCCCTCAGGGAATCATGGGAGTTGTACTCATCAAAACAAATATCCAGTGCAAACCCTGACGAATACAACTACCATGATTCCCTGCAGGCGCATCTCACAGAGAAAATTGGCCATTAGAACGATTTGGACATAGGAGGTATCTCCAAAACATGCAACGAACGCCTAGAAACCCAAAAGGCTGAACATGGATCTTAGGAAATAACAACTAAAAGCAACATGGATATCAAGATATTTTTTAGTGTTAAAAGGATAAATATTGCGAGGAATCAAGTTTAAAATCGTCAATATTGTCTGCCTTCTGAGATCTTCTTCTCTCGTATTCACCTTTCACATGTGGTCTCCAGGTCCCGTTGTACCAGCGGCCAAAGCCATCCCATATAAACTTGCAATCCTCGTCGCATGAGGGAGGGTTACCAAGTCCATAGCTCAGAAATTCTGAAAGTGAAAAGATTATGTTTTAAGTTCGTTTTACAAGCACCCTACAAATCTGACCATTGATGGTAGTGTAATAATAACCTGATCTGAATTTGTTGCTGTTTTTTTTTTAAGGCTTGCTTAGCCTCAAGGATTTATGGCTTAGTTGTTTGCGTATAAACAAGGTTTTCTGAAAGATAGTTTCCAAGATGCAAACTTTTCCGACACTTTTCCCCGCTGCAGCTCGGCTTCAAATTTAGTCGATCTAACTAATTAATTCGTTACGATGAGTGTACAGTCAGACCTCTCCACAGCGGCAACCCCGGGGAGCAGAGGAAAGTGGCTGTTGTAAAGAGGTGGTCGTTAGTGGAGGTTCGACTGCATTACCCTCATATCTCGTTGGCCCAGAAGGTTGTGGTACAGATATGGTCAGCGGTATTCCTTCCCAAAGAGCAGCTTGTAAAAAGACATAAGGCTCCATCAAAGTTCCATGCGGTTGACTGTTGCCATGGATATTTCCTGATGTAAAATTAGTGAAACAAACTATGAGGTGGACTGTATATTTCGCAGATCTTTAATGTAAACCAGGAGAAAATATTCAAAGATATTTTGTGAATTACAAAAATGTTATTGTTTCCAAAGCCGTTTTCCTTCTGTTTCCAGTTGCATACGCAGAACCTTGTTTCATTCATAAAAGTTATTAGAAAAAAGCCCAAAGAAAAAACTTGCGCTGATTGATTAAAAATCGTGTGTTTTGAAACACAGAACTAGCACGAGCGGTTGACGTATATTTTGATTATCAATTGTCAAAGTAAACATTTTTTTTGGTCGCGGTATTTTCTAAAAGAAATAAAAAAAACATGTTCTCCGTGTTGCTATCGAGTCATAGAAACACTCGTGAAAGTTTGGGAGAACTCGAAAAAGCTGTTCAAACACGCTGCTATCGGCTCATGCTCCCACAGCCTTGCTCTTTCTCCCAAACTTCCACTCGTGTTTCTACAGCTCGATACCGGAGAAATAAGCGCTATAAATTTTGTAAATACCGCACCATACCTATCATAAACCAGTAATCAGGAGGGTTTTTCATTCCGTCACACAACGAGTAATCCAACACGATCGACGCAGAGTAGGTTCCAGGCTCCAGGATAAGAAACAGCACCTCGTACGTTCCATTGCCGTGATCAATCACTGTCGGTGCAAGCACAGATGGTCCCCATATAAGAACCCTCCAATCGTCGCCTCCTATAGTCTTGGGTTGACCGTTATAGGACTGGGACTGAATGCTGAATCTGCTAAACTCCCCAGCAGGTTTAATGTCCATAAAAGGAATAATGCTTTTAGTGGGGTCGGTCCTGTTTTGGATTCCCCAACCGGGTAAATCCACGCCAAATTTGGTGTTCCCTTCACAAGTTGCTCCCAGTAGTTCCCAGTCCGTTGCAACCCTGCGTACTCGGCACCAATCTTTTCTAAATTCTAACAGACCGTTGAAAGTTGTCGTTTTTGTGGCATGCACAGGAAAATACCACTTAAGGTACACAAACAGAGTAATGGTTAACGCCCAGAGGACGAAAAACGTTCTGCGCGGAACAAATATTCTGTGCACTACCCTGCGTCTTGTCACAAGTAATTGAGCGGAGGCCCGCAATTGACGGAACTTGCGCCACAGTCCTGGTGAACAGCGGAGAACATCTTGTAATGTTTTTCGTCCATTGGTTCCTTTTGGGTATATATTGACATTTCTGCCAGATTCAGTCATAGAATGTACTTTCTATAAAATAAAGGCTTGTGAGGCTGGAGCGCGTAAAGAGATTGTCCTCCAGGCTTCATGGAATTGTCTACCTAGGAAACAAGTGACGACTGCTCAATAGCCAGCTTTCATTTGAATGATCACACAGTAGGTTTTCATCTACAGACCCAAAAGATAGAACCACCTTCTACAGCATATAATCAACAGTACCACATGAATGTACTGCTCAATAGCTTTCATTTACCGTGATGATCACACCCTAAGGTTTCATTTACAGACTAAAAAGTTAAACCCACCCTGTACAGCAAAATAAACAGTAAAGCATAAAAGTCCTCTTCAATATCTTTCACTTGAATGGTTACACACCAGGATTTCATTAATTACAGGTTAGAACCACCTTATATACTCATATATACCATGTCGTAAGAAAATATACCCAATCACAGTATGGAAAGCTGTTGTCTACTCGACGGTATTATACCGTGACTGGCTGTATTTTCTATGGCATGGTATAAAATAGTTGTCTAAAGTTTTGCATTACTAGTATCCCTTACAGGCCGGCATCACATGAATTGGTTTTTTTAAAACAGTAAATTGAGTATACCAGAAGTTTTATTGAGAAAACTTATCAGACGATTCAGTGTGAAGAACACTGTGAAGCAATTGAGAACCAAAGACATTAATTATAACACCTTCTGTTATAGTAACAATTTTGAAACTGATAGTCTTTCAACTGAAAAGAGTTTATAGAAGCTTAAATTCGTGTATTCATACATGAATTCGACTATTCAAAATAAGACTATTCGATTCGTTACTGCCCTCATTGATCATCTCTTGATCATATGGTTTCAAACTGGGATTGCCATTTACGTTTGCTACCGTGAAAGGAAAAGCACAGATGGATCGAATCCAATCATGTGTAGAAGTCCTATGTCATCTGTCGGGGCGTATCCAAAGAATATAAGCGTCTGACCGAGGGTATTCAAGTAGAATTATATTACCAAATAATAAAACAAATGGCTGACTATATTTCATTCAGTCAAGCCTGTCTTGTTGCACTTGCAGGTGACAGATTCAAGATATTTACCTGAGAAATATTTCCCGTGCTGACCGATGTTGAATATCTCCTTTACAGTACCAGTGTTCCGAGCAGTAATTGCTCCATATCGATATCGCATTTCCTCTGAACTTCTAATATTAGTCTCGTTGTTTTATTTACACACTCTCCATCCTCGTGGCATGTGACTTCATGTCACCAGTCAATGTTCGGTGCTACATTCACAGCAAAAGAATGGCTGAAAGCAAATATTTCCCTTTGCAATGACAGCTTCTCCTCTTCCCACGATGAAAGAAATAATTAAATCACTTTCCTACACTTGCATGCCGTTAATTTCGCGAAGGCGCACATTGGCGGGTTTCGACTATGATTCAGTGATTCCCCTAAAAGCGTATAAAAATTGTCAACCTGAGCAGATTTCTGGAAGTTAATGTTTGTAATAACAGCGCCTTGCTTTCCCGGAATGCAGCTGAGTACCTAAGGGGCGGAGGTTCCGGCTTTCGGATTGAGCGGTCCGGGTTGGAGCCCTGGCCGGGGACATTGTGTTGTGCTCTTGGGCGAGACACGTTACTCTCACAATGCCTCTTTCCACCCAAGGGTATAAATGGGAACCCTGCCATGGACAAGCGTTCCATTCGGGAGGGGCAGGGGTTAAAGATCGTCAAAAATATCGGCAAACCTTATCATTGTTCTTTGAGTGCGCGCAGATTACTAAAGCTTTCTTCCTCAGCGCACGTGCAGTCGTAAACCTTACCTTATTTTTGTCTTGATAGTCGAACAATTGAGTAAACTTCTGACAGCGAAAATAGCCTCAAACTGTCTTTTATTCGATTCAGTAAGGCTAGCTAAACAGGCCAACGGTAGTTTGCAGTAATTTTAGTTAACAGAGTTTAAAATCTAAATATCTGGGAAATTTACAATTATACTCATGGATAACTATATTTCACAACCATGAATGTTCTAACTATACTCAGCTGTTTTTAGTGTGAAGCGGGATTGTATAATATTTGGTAATAAACTGAGAGCAAAGTAAGGTTGAAAACCGTCGCGATTTTTTCTGTAGTTGCACTCCAATTTGTTCAAGAAATTCGAATCCTTTTTACTGTGATTGGGATCCAGCGCGCCGACATTAGCATAGGCCACCACGCCTTCAGCAGCTGTTTAACCGTACAACTTATTTTGTACCTTAACCTCTTGCCTTCTTCACTCTCCCCTGTAAAGCCATTCCATTTTGTAATAACAGTTTTACAAAAAAACAAAAGCAAAAGAATCGGAGAAAAATGTTTTCAGGCTTGACCGTATTGTATGATTTGCATTAACCCAAAAAGAAAGTATGGTATTACGGCTGTATGTCTTACACGAAATAATTTCTTTAAGTTTATTTTCTACGTCAGTCTGCTTGTGTGATTGACTTCGTTCCACCAGGGACTAAAGTACTCTAGCAAGATGTCCTCCGCGGGTTTGAAGACCAAGTCTTTGTAATGCACGCTATCGAACGGATCCACGCTATTATCAGTCCCGTTAGGGAAAGACGCGGTGAGTGGGTACACATCAAGTACTTCAATACCGGCTTTACACATGGCCCAGGTAGCATACGCATTGTAGAGTTGAACCCGCTGAAAAAAAAGGAAAAGATTTTTATAAACTAACCATTACAGTAAAGTAAATTCTGCATGCGAGCCACGTAGCCCATCAGGCCTGAACTTATCACCATTTCTATAGCATGAAGCAACTAGGAATATTTCTACTCCTCCCTGGATGGGATGCCAGTCCGTCGCAGGGTTACCCCCTGGCATTAATTTCGCCAGCACTCATTTATACACCTGGGTGGAGAGAGGCACTGTGAGAGTAAACTGTCTTGCCCAGGAACACAACACAATGTCCCCGATCGGGATTCCAACCCAGACCACTTGATCCGGAGACGAGCGAACTAACCACGAGGCCAACGCGCCGCCAAACAACAACAGCAGATACGCTTTAATTGGTCAAAATTTTGATTGGTCAAAATTTGGGAATTTTTACAACAGGGTATAGAAAGTATTTGTTTAGGACTGGTTTTGAACTTTCCAGTGAAAATTATCAGCCTTTAGTTATTTACTGTTAACATTACTCACCAGAATCCCATTATCTATTAGAGGTTTACATGATGAAATGACAACATAAAAACCAACATTACAGAGGCGGCTGCTACTACAGGCCTAGGTTTGTCTGTGATCCTTCTTTATCTTCTCTCAATAAATGTTATAATTTTTGCCGGGGGGGGAACGCCCTTATAAAAAGGACGGGGGTGCTCATCTTACGTTTTTAAGGTTAGAAAAGCGCTTTTGGTATCTCTTAGAATGTTCAGCCAGGAGATATTTGAAAATCAACAGACTTTTAATTTGTCTCAGAATTGGTACCTCTTAGGGGTGAAAAGTATTTCAAGCCACGCCCACAAAACAGGATCTTGTTACCTCCTAGGGGTTCTTTTCAAAATGTCCGACCAGCAACCCCATCTTTTTCATATGGGAGACCCCTTCGGGGAGTTTTTGTACCTGTCGAGTAAGAAATCGTCGCTTGTGGTTGTGTGGCGATCTTAGTCTTTCTCTGTGGATAGCAGCGTTTGTCTTCCAAATCATTTTCCCTTTGAACTTTAATTCAATTCCTCTCTTTTCGTTCACTTTTGTCGCTTTAAACAGGTCCACAATACCATCGATAACTTGGCGGTATGTCGAAAAGTTTGTTGACGTAATAAAATGCAGTCCGTGGTTAAGAATAATGACGCTTTTCTCGTCATTCATCTGCGGCAAGTGAATAACCCTCGCTATCGCGTCCAAGACGCGTGTTATGTTTATTGGTAGAAAGTTTCTTTGGTACAGCTCTACTGTAGCGTTTTTGATTGGATAAATCCAGTTGTAAGACAGGGTGCAGCCGCGAAAAACTGTTTTGCAGAGTGGAGTTCGACGGATGGAACGGTAAAATCGCCCCGCATTAGAATCCCCGTAGATCCACAACACACCCTCGCGATTTCTTGGGGAGTGTTTCATCCACAAACCTGTAAAATGATTAATTAATGAATGAGAGAAGATTTACAGGACGGGAAAAAAATTTTTGTCAGCCAATTACGGCAATTCTCCCCATGAGACACGCCCTCAGGGAATCATGGGAGTTGTATTCATCAAAACAAATATTCAGTCCAAACCCTGATGAATACAACTGCTATGATTCCCTGCTGGCGCGTCTCACAGAGAAAATTGGCCATTAGAGCAATTTGGACATAGGAGGTATCTCCAAAACATGCAACGAACGCCTAGAAACCCAAAAGGCTGAACATGGATCTTAGGAAATAACAACTAAAAGCAACATGGATATCAAGATATTTTTTAGTGTTAAAAGGATAAATATTGCGAGGAATCAAGTTTAAAATCGTCAATATTGTCTGCCTTCTGAGATCTTCTTCTCTCGTATTCACCTTTCACATGTGGTCTCCAGGTCCCGTTGTACCAGCGGCCAAAGCCATCCCATAAAAACTTGCAATCCTCGTCGCATGAGGGAGGGTTACCAAGTCCATAGCTCAGAAATTCTGAAAGTGGAAAGATTATGTTTTAAGCTCGTTTTACAAGCACCCAACAAATCTGACCATTGATGGTAGTGTAATAATAACCTGATCTGAATTTGTTGCCGTTTTTTTTAGGCTTGCTTGGCCTCAAGGATTTATGGCTTAGTTGTTTGCGTATAAACAAGGTTTTTTGAAAGATAGTTTCCAAGATGCAAACTTTTCCGACACTTTTCCCCGCTGCAGCTCGGCTTCAAATTTAGTCGATCTAACTAATTAATTCGTTACGATGAGTGTACAGTCAGACCTCTCCACAGCGGCAACCCCGGGGAGCAGAGGAAAGTGGCTGTTGTAAAGAGGTGGTCGTTAGTGGAGGTTCGACTGCATTACCCTCATATCTCGTTGGCCCAGAAGGTTGTGGTACAGATATGGTCAGCGGTATTCCTTCCCAAAGAGCAGCTTGTAAAAAGACATAAGGCTCCATCAAAGTTCCATGCGGTTGACTGTTGCCATGGATATTTCCTGATGTAAAATTAGTGAAACAAACTATGAGGTGGACTGTATATTTCGCAGATCTTTAATGTAAACCAGGAGAAAATATTCAAAGATATTTTGTGAATTACAAAAATGTTATTGTTTCCAAAGCCGTTTTCCTTCTGTTTCCAGTTGCATACGCAGAACCTTGTTTCATTCATAAAAGTTATTAGAAAAAAGCCCAAAGAAAAAACTTGCGCTGATTGATTAAAAATCGTGTGTTTTGAAACACAGAACTAGCACGAGCGGTTGACGTATATTTTGATTATCAATTGTCAAAGTAAACATTTTTTTTGGTCGCGGTATTTTCTAAAAGAAATAAAAAAAACATGTTCTCCGTGTTGCTATCGAGTCATAGAAACACTCGTGAAAGTTTGGGAGAACTCGAAAAAGCTGTTCAAACACGCTGCTATCGGCTCATGCTCCCACAGCCTTGCTCTTTCTCCCAAACTTCCACTCGTGTTTCTACAGCTCGATACCGGAGAAATAAGCGCTATAAATTTTGTAAATACCGCACCATACCTATCATAAACCAGTAATCAGGAGGGTTTTTCATTCCATCACACAGCGAGTAATCCAACACGATCGACGCAGAGTAGGTTCCAGGCTCCAAGATAAGAAACAGCACCTCGTACGTTCCATTGCCGTGATCAATCACTGTCGGTGCAAGCACAGATGGTCCCCATATAAGAACCCTCCAATCGTCGCCTCCTATAGTCTTGGGTTGACCGTTATGTGTCTGGGACTGAATACTGAATCTGCTAAACTCCCCGACAGGTTTTATGTCCATTACTGTAATGAAACTTTTCGTAGGGTCAGTCCTGTTTTCCATTCCCCATCCAGGCAAATTCACGCCAAATTTGGCGTTTCCTTCACAAGTTGATCTGAGTTGTTCCCAGTCTGTCGCGACCCTGCGCACTCGGCACCAGTCTTTTCTGAAATCTAACAAGCTGTTGCGATTTACTGTGCTCGTAAGATACAGAGGAAAATACCACTTGAGGTACACGAATAGTGTAATAGTCAATGCCCAGAATAGGAAAAAAGCTCTGCGTAGAACAAATATCCTGGGCACGCCCCGCAAGGTTCTTCCTCCTGTCACAAGAATTTGAACCGAAGTGCAGAATTGACGGAACTTGCGCCGCAGTCCTGCTGGACAGCGAAGAACCTCATGAGATGTTGTTTGCCGGTAAATTTCTTCCGAATACACTGTGACATCTCTGTGATACTCAGTCATAGAAGGCGCTTTCTAGGAAAAGAAACCTCTCAGAGCATGTATAGCGATGATGTACCAAGCTTCATCGATTTTTCTACCTAAGAAACAAGGAAGAGGTTGAATGGTTAAAAGACGAGTAATTTCAATTAGATCTAGACTTCTGTGGTAAGATAGAACTTGTTTGTTCAAAAACATCTTGGACGTCCTAATCGATTGGCGTCGTTTAAGCTCGTTGAAATTGTGTGCTGAAATATCCGAAAGCCACATCCTATAAGTGTCATGCTTCCCTAGTGTTTTCCGAGTCCAAGATGGCGCTCGCTCGCTCCACTACAGATCCAAAATGGCGTTTATCCCTCAGGCCCCAGCTTCAAAATACGCCCGTATTGCAAGCTTCACAATATAGAATAGCATTGTATATACGACAGAGAGTACCTCAGGAAAGTATTATACAGCATGGTTTCGGTTTAAATGGGTTATTCAAGAGGGTTTCACTACAAAGAGAACCTAAAGCGTGTTTGATGTTTTTTGTGTGTGTCGTGTTTTTACATCAGTCTTATCGCGTTGTTAATTTCTTCTTTTTTACATAAATTACAAGAGCCTATTCAATTGTAAATATACCAGTCAAAGTTATTAACTAAAACTTATCGTACAATTAATTGATACCATTGGGACGAAAAGGTTTCAAAAAGCAAACTGAAATTCAATCATACACGTAAGCTCTATTGAATTTATTCAGGATTATCCAAAGCATGGTCTTACTAACTAGGGCTAATAAATTTTGTTGACTGTCTTCAATTCAGTCAAGCCTGTCTTCTTGCACGCATCATAAGTCAAATATTTCCCTGCGAAAAAAATTACATTCCGTACAAACCTTTGTTGCTAGACCACCTTTAAAGCGGTTTTCTGGGTAGAAATTGCTTCATTTTGAGTTGAAAACACCAGGATAACCGTTCATCTTCGCCTAAACATTTTCTCCATCCATGTAGCCTCGTTGTTTTATTTAACTTCGCTCCACCCTCGTGGCATGTGGCTTCAAATCACCAGTCAATGTTAGGTGCTTCATTCACAGCAGACGAATAGCACGAAATGTTTGTGTTTGCCTCCGCTGGAAAGAAATAATTCCTCGGCCTTTAGACTTTCAGAACATAACCTTGCACGATAATTTTGGTTGCGGTCGTACAGACAATCAGCTAAAACAAGAGACCGTGATCTCTTGGCTAAAATTAATCCTCTTGAACGCTGTAAAACTGAACAGATTTTGGGAAATCCTAGTCAGAGGGGCCACCATCACCATTTGCCCAAAACGTGCTTTTTCAGAGAGCAAAATACAAAATACATACTTACGCCCGCAGAAAAAAGGAAGAGCAGTTTGGTTTTGCTTGGTTCAGTTCGCATTTTTCCAACCTATGGGCTGATGGTCTCCCATTGAAATTTTATGTCTTGATGAACTAACATGGAAGCCCTCGAACTTCATTGTCAGGCTTCTTCAAGCCACCGGGTAATTTTCCTTTTATTATATAGACAACTAATTGTTTGTACAAACAGCCATAAAAAAGCGGGAAATGGCGTCATCAGTATCCTCACTAGCTAGTGAGGATGTGAAAAATACGCCACTCGGATCCCGGATGTAGTTTCGCTCGAATTTTACTAGTGCTTTATTTTCCAGTAAACACTCGTGTCTATCAATTTTTATCAGTAAAATGTTTAGCTCGTTTTAAAATTCGGGCATACGGCTCACTGCGATCATGGTTGAAAACTGATATGTATGTGGTTCCTGGGGTGCTCTCCATTATGCCAGACCGACCGGTACAACCCAGCGGGACTACCCGAGGAAAAATGGGACGACATCTCCGATCAAACCGGGCTNTTTCGCTCGAATTTTACTAGTGCTTTATTTTCCAGTAAACACTCGTGTCTATCAATTTTTATTAGTAAAATGTTTAGCTCGTTTAAAAATTCGGGCATACAGCTCACTGCGATCGTGGTTGAAAACTGATATGTATGTGGTTCCTGGGGTGCTCTCCATTATGCCAGACCGACCGGTACAACCCAGCGGGACTACCCGAGGAAAAATGGGACGACATCTCCGATCAAACCGGGCTTATTCCTCTCCCGAATTCCCTATAGAAGTGAAATCTACTGACGAGAAGCAGGCAATAAACCAGTTTGTCAAAATAGAATGGCAAATTTCGGTCCGACCGACTGGAACTTTTGGCATAATGGAAAGCACCCCTAGTTTCAGGATTACTGTTTATGACATAGAAGCAATTTATATCAACATAATCACGAAATTAAGAAAAAAAAACTTTAATCCATCTTATAAGTTTTGTAAAAATAATCTTCTAAAAGTCTCTCTGCCGACTCGAAGACAAAATGTTGGTAATGGACCGCATCTTTAGGTCTGGATGGTTTGCCAGTGCCGTACGGATAAGAATCGGTCAGCGGATGAACATCTAGTACAGGAACATTGGCCTGGCACATGGCGGCGGTGGCGAAGGAGTTGAAGAGAAGAACACGCTGCTAGGAAATGAAATAAAAAACGAAACAATGAATGATGTATTTAGTATGCATGGAAACTAAAAAACAGCATCGTAAACGTTGATGACATAAAGTTGGGATGTTAGTATGGATAATCAAATGGTGACGAATGAAATTAGGAAATAATTTTTACGCGCGTTTTGTCAAAATTCTAATAGTTTTCCGATTCTTTAACGCAAGTGAAATTATTTCTTAATTTACGAGTATACTCTTTAAATATCTTTAATATCATGGGTGGCAAATTACGCTTACAATTGTTGGTTCCCAACCCTTATAACTAAGAACGTGATGGTGTCAACGTCAACGCTGAAATTTCGTGGAAAAATTAAGGATTAATTTGTCATTCATGGTATTATAAAGGTTATTGGTCCAAAGAATTTACTTTATAATTTTTTCCTTAATTGGCACTTGTGCGGCTAAGGTACTCTCCTTTGATTGTTAAAAGTAAAAATTACCCCCATTTCTCCGTTGACAGCTACATTTCGTTTCCATCAGACTCTTGATTAAAGTCCATTGAAATTTTTCATGGAAGGCATATGCTGAAAATTACCAGAGTATGACCCGCTATTCTTTTTGCGTAATCCGCCAGGCGTGACACAAAAGAGCGCACGAGAGGAAATAGCCTCGCGCGGTCAGTTTTCCTCTTGCGCGCTCTTTCGCGTGTCTCAGGACGAGCTAAGCAAAAGAGGGGTTACTACTGATCTAAACGTTTCCTTTGCCGCGTCATTTCACACGGGTCAACGGGTTTGAATTTCACGCCTGTTAAAATATGATAGAGCAAATGTCTAAGGAAAGCCAGCGTCTACGACCTTCAGACAAGACGCTTAATACCTGGTAAGTTAAAAACCTTCTTGCTTGGATGTGTCTCCCATCCAGCTTTTGTTTATTTAAGGCCGTTGTTGATCTCCAGATCATTTCACCAGGAAAAAGCAAATTTCCATTGGCTGTAGTCACCATCTTTGTTTCTTCAAAGAGTCTTATTAATGAACCAACTGTCTCTTGATAATTTGAGAAGTTTGTACTCTCAAGGTAATGTAAACCGGCATTTAACAGAATCACACTGTTCTTGTCGAAAAATGGTTTGGATATGACGTCTAACACCTCACTAGCGACTCTCATGAAGTTGAAGTCGAGATTGTCATCAGCATTCTTGGCAGCCGTTATATTCCCTGCAGCGAAAAGAGGGAAACACAAGAGCGCTGTAGTAATTAAATTACTGAACAAAAAAATGCTTTCTCATTATTGGGAACATTGATGGCTCAAATGTGAGAGCGCTCCCTACAGTCCCACCAATGTGACCCGGGTTCCATTCCGGCCCGGTACCATATGCCGGTTGAGTTTGTTGTTTGTTCTCGCCTTGCTCCGAAGGTTTGTCTCCAGGTTCTCCGGTTTTCTTCTCTCCACAAAAACCAACATCTCCAAATTCCAATTCGACCAGGATACAGGACCCGCATGAAAACCATGCTAAGGCTGATGTGACTTCCTCTCTAAATATTGTCAATTTATTTTAAGTCCATAGTCACCTTTTAACTGGTAGATCCAGTTGTATGTGTGTCCACACCATTTAAAAACATGAGTGCATAGCGGTCGTGGCCTGACTCCCCAGAAAAACTGCTCGCTGACCGAGTCTCCGTATATCCACAACACGCTGTCCTTCCGCAGGGGACTGGGATCCAGAAAACTGTGCCTGTCTCTGTCTTTAAGATACATGATGCATGTGAATTAACGATTAGTTAAAGTTTTAGTTTTAGGGTTTGATTGAGATCTCGATCGCATCTCACGCTAAACATGACATCTTTTACAATACTGTTTATATCAAGGTATGTGTTTTCTGCTCGATCTGATAGCGAGGCCGAAAAAGGGAAAATTATTACAGTAATCAGCTTTATATAGTCGGTCAATTGGCTGTCTACAGGTACCTGGTACAACCACGGAAAAGCACGTGAGAACAATGCCTTGACATAAATTACATTATGTCTGGTCATAATGCCTGCTTTTAAAGACTCCTGTACATTAAATTGAATCACGTAGAATGATAAAGGAAATTCATCTGCCATGTTTGTTATTGTAATACATCATTTGTACTTTGGCAAGTGTCTGAGTGACAATCTTGCGAATGTTAGCATTAATTTCACGAAGAACTGTTCAAGGTGGATTTGTAGAAATTAAGAGAAGATGAAGAGTAACAGAGTGAATCCTCCTATAGGCCTCATTGCCCAGGTAATCCCTCTCAAGTTATTTTCAGATATGGTACCCAGTGCTTCCGCGAATAATGTTGCTCCGTGCGTTCAGTTTAAAGCTGCTTGCGCTGTCCACGTGAGAAAAATCTTCGTCACAGGATTAGCTATTTCTTGACCCTCCTGGGATTTCTGAAGTCCGAAGTGATCTAAAAATAACTTGAGAGGGATTACCTTGGTACTAAGGCTTGTATGGGGGGTTAACTTTATTACTCTTT